ACCCCTGCAAACCACCTCCTCCTCTCACTGCTTCAAACCGTATCAAACTACGCAATACTTCTGATTTGCTCTGACGTCTATATGCTGTCCCTAACAACTCTGGCAATGTACCAACTTTATTACCTTCCATCTTACTTTTATTACCAATCCCAATGCTCCACACATGCAAACAGCACAAAATATCCTAACCGCACAAATCCTCCTCAACTATTATTAGTAGACTTACTTATCCAGGGGATAAGTAATGGGGAACCAGCTGGTTTAAGTTATTACTTTTAGCCAGCTCACTTTGTTATTATACTTCACCCTATTAATCTTTTTTATTCACTGGGATGCTAGAAAATACAATGTTAAACATGAAACTGAAGGCATTCTAATAAATAGATTATAAAATATGTAACTTTAGTAAACATAAACCAAAAAATTAAGACTCATGAACTTCTTAGAGATTCAGAAGAGAAAGACTTAAACCTTTTGCTCCTGCTTGCAGAGATGGATTTTCCTTTACTAAATTACTTTTTTTGGCAGAAGACTGCAAACACCCTATTTCAGTAATGCATATAAATGCAAAGAAAGTGGGTTCCCTGTCTTTTTTTGTCTGCTTTTATTACATCAAACTCCTCCAGCTTTACCCTCAAAGATGTGGCCAAAGCATTTATTTTCCTGAACATAATTATATATTCATCAATTCTCTCATCTTACTTTTCTAAAAACCCCCAACCTAATTCTGAAATAAAACAACACTCATCTCCTTATATAACCATACATCTTCCATATTTAGCATCCCAACCCATGCTTTCTTTAAAACTACGTTATCCACCCCTCTAATCCCATCACCCATAGCCTAACTAGCAAACACTTGAAAGCATGAAGGTTTTTCAAAAATATCTCCCAACAACTTCATGAACAAAATACTAGAGAAAAAACACATCACTCTTACCTAAACCTTACTCCAAAGAGACCTCAAAACACATAATCCCCTGTGCCATCCTCCCAGTACTCTCAAGCCTGCAACACACAACCATAGTGACACAAACCCAGACTATCCTACACTCATTTTCCACCTCATCATGTTTAAGCATAAAAAACACTGAGAAATACCCTCAGCTCATCAATTCCAACAGTTTTCTTTACCCCTCTATCTTGATTTAGTAAATAGTTCCTCAAGAAAACACCCTGAGAAGCTGCTAAATCCATTCTCGCAGCCCCCAAGCCCCCAGTTAGCAATCAACAGCATTGTACCACCCTATGAATAACATAATTCTCCAGAACAAAAGCCAAGGAAGTAGCTAAACCTCACTCAGTTACCCACACATAACTACCAGCTATTCTTTCAATCAACAGTAACACAACAAAGTTACGAATATAGACTACATGTTTCAGGAAAAGGCTTCGCAACTAAAGAAACAGGATCAATAAATCCTACTAACATACCCCTCCGTAAATCAAGAATCAAGCTAAAAACAAAAATGAGACCTCCAGATTAACTAGCAACCCACATCTAAAAAACAATACCAAAGCAAGAACTCCACAGGAAGGAGGGAAAGGATTAGAAGAAATTGTTATTAAGTGAGAAACAAAGCATAATATATACTAGTTTCCCTTTGCACTCTCACTGAAGTCTGCAGTTTGAACACAGTGATGCACAGAAACCTCAAAGCACTAACCACTCAGCAACAACAGATCTACAGCCCCTTTAGCATCTGCAAAAAAAAAATAGTATAACTGACTAACCTGTATCTTCTGGGCAAAAAACACCACCACTTTCTTTAGTTTTATCTTCCTCTACATTCAGTCAAATGCTCTACCATCACTCCTACCTCTACAAAGAAACCTTAAGTATCAGTGTTATTTTACAATCTCTTATTTGTATCTTTGACAGACAGTTAGCACCTTTCACAAAGTTAAACTTTTCCAAAAAAAGGTGGGGGGGCAGGATCTTCATAATCCCCTTTTAACTGACTTCTCACCCAGGACCACAGCAGCGTGGTCCAGGGGTAGGAGCATCATCCTGTCATGTCTCATACCTGTCACTTCTTCCTCACATGTATTACTGCCCATGTGGCGGGCCAGGCCCTTTGGAAACTCTGTCACTACAAACAACACATGTATTGGCATTCAAGTTTTTCACTTAGACCTTGGATACGGAGCTCCCTCATCAAGAGCTGTGTCTCAGAAGTTGCTCTTCATACAAAAATGATTTGTTTCTGAAAATGTACAAGTACATATTTAAGTGCAATTATCGTGAATTAAACTTAATTAAAAATGGATCCTTGCGAAAATATTGAACAACATCTGTTTTGGGAGGGTTCTTCCATATCCAATTCAAACATCTAGTATCTAATTCTAATGTCTAGCATCTAATTTCTTTCAGATTTCTTTTACCTAAACTGTATTAGAATATTTTTGAGATGGCAGTTCTTCTTTTAGTACTTCAGGCTGTTCCTTTCTGTCTAGCAAACAACATACTACTACAAAGAATAGAAATAGAAACAGGGTCTTTTGCACACAGATCTTCTTTGTTACTTGTATTTACTGTGTTTTACTTGTCACCTCCAGTACTTTTTAAGGTAGCTCATAGCTTTTCAATTGTGCAGGCATTGGAAGAAGAGCTTGGTGCTAGTGGTTGCTTGCAAGAAATTAGAAGAGTAGGGAAGAGATTTTCAGCTTTGACTGCACCTCAGTAGTGTGAAAGAGACAGCGAATGGACAGATAGAGACCTATAAAATCACAGAAGTTATGGTTAAGCTCAGTTATTCACAGTACAGAGTGGGGGGAAAATGATATGGTTTTGAACTAATTGTAGAAAATGTTGCTCCTCAACACGGCTTTCTAAATTCTGGAACTTCTTGACACATCAAGCCATGAAAGGCGAAAGCATAAATGAGTGCTAAAGAGTTCAGACAAATTTGTGGGAAACAGGCATACGTTTACGAACTAGCATGGCACAGCCATCCTAGAAAATCCTCCAACGAGGAGGAGCACTTCTCAGGACATTTCCTGCTACTTCCATTACTCCTTGGTCATTCTCTACTTCGCCCGTATTGGGACCTCAATAGAAAGGAGACTTCTGATCTGACCCAGGATAACACTTCATCTATTAATACTTGTGAATGTGATGGTAACAAAAACAGCTGGCTTCTATTCAAACCACATGACGAGTGGCTATTCTTTGCAAATGTCCAGCAAAAGACACCACTGTGATCCCAGATACATCAAAGCCCAACAACATTTTGGGATTTACTACATTGATTACATTTAATTTTTTTTTATTTTGAAAGAGAAGAAAATTTTGTATCACAACTTGGGCTTACATTTGACTATAAATTAATAATTTTGAATAAATTATATTTTAGAGACCCTGTAACTTTCCTTGAATCAAGGAAATACTTGTAGGCCATTCAGATTTAAGGGTAAGCTTAAAACTCAGTCCTGTTAGGCAAGGAAAACTGTACAAGATTGCAAAGAGCAAAACAGAGAAAAAAGCCAGCTGTGCTCACAGCATCAAATTGAAGGGTTGAAGCATAAATTAATCCAACATATAGTTAAAAATCAATTTCACACACTGTGAGATTGCAAAACCTCTGGTGCTTTCATCAGAACGCTGTTGCTTTTGTCTGATGTAACTATCAGGTCAGTAGACCCCAGCACTAATTTATTTGCTTGAATTTATAATGACTAAATCCTGGCAAAGGCTTTTTATTTTAAAACTTGTTTGCAAGGCCCTGACAGATAAACACACGCTTTCAGGTCCCTGTTTTGTGTGTGGGAGTTAGGCAGCCAAATGCAGATGGATTGTAAGCATCTAAAGCCATTTGTTTAGCAAACCAAATGCTTGCTTTATTATCTGCAACTTATCAAAGAGCACCTGCTTATTTCTTGTTCAGAGCTAGTGAGACAGAAACCAGTATTAGAGATGTAACAGTGTCAGCTTGATATTTATAAGCCCAGCCATGCTCTGAGGAGGTTTAATGGACAGCTTTGGGCACAGGACATCAATAACTAAATATGAATTTGAAAAGGGGTTTCAGCTGAAGATGAGCAGTGCAGGGTTGTTTTTTTAAAACTCAAGAACTCATTCAGGTCCAACTATACAACTGCTGGGAGTCTTGTCTTTGATTTTGATGGGACTGATATCAAATCCTGGGGATTCACATACTCAGAAAGATTTAGCCAGACAGTTGATCGGATCATAGATTGATTTGATCTATTATAATCTATGGACAACACCCACTGTGTTTGAAGAGTAGCCACTGATGCAATTTGAAGACACATGTAAGCTTTAAAAACAGATTTGGATCCTCCAGTGAGAAATGTTTAATCTTCCACCAGAAAGGTGCATCAAAGCCAATGCAGTCTCAAACAAGAAGCAACCCAGGACTAACAAGGAGGACTGAAAGACAGATTTCTCTTCCCTAACCTATCAGTGCACATCAGGGTATGGATCAGGATATAGGATCAGCTATGCTGAGCTAAATGTGCTGTTAATTTAAGATACAGGATAACCAAAATAGTGCTGCCCTTTTGTCTTTCTCTACTGTTCACAATAAAGTAAGGTTACCAAATAGAGCCAGCTCCTACACATTTGATCAGAATACAAACCCTTACTTCATGAGGGGACAGCATAGGATGCATGAATCTGAAGAAACAGTTGTGCTAGAATACGATCCTGGGATTCTTTTCCTGCAAAACTGAAGCATGTGCTCAGTTTTATGGGTATGAGCAAATGGATTAAACTTTTTGTGGTTAATTTTCCATAAAATTGAGGACATGAGCAAATATTTGTAGAATCACATTCTTGAGGAAGAAGAACACACTATGTTTGGCACTGGAGGAATGCACTAAATACTTCTGTGTTACGTTTTGCATAACTCCCCCACTCAGTTATTCCACGAGATATCTGCAAAGGCAGTATAAAACACAGAGGCTGCAAAACGTCAGCTTCACACACATGTGAAAAAACTGGATTGCCCCCTTCCCCAGCAGCTTGTTCTACTTACCAATATTGCAGTACTTCCCTACAAATTCTCCTTTGCAGTCACAGACTATTCTCCCACTGAAGGTGATCATTTTACATTCACCACCATTCAGGCAAGGATTTTGAGCGCAACCTAAAAGCAGAAACTAAGATCAAACAAAAGATACAGCCTATACAAGAAAAAAAAAGTCCATTTTAACTTAATTTAGTATTTCTCCCCTGTGCATCTGTATTTTGGGGAATGTTTTCCCTTTTTATTCATCTCAGAGTTGATAGAAACTGAAGACAAAAAAGTCATGCTGATTTATACCCACCGAGGTCTGGCTCACTGATTTTGCTTTTATTGGGTAATGTCAGCATAGCTATTAAAAATATTATCAATGCGTGGGAGATAAAATGGGGTTGATGATTATTATTGCCAGTGATGTTGGAATTAACATTTCTTTCTGTATGGAGGGCTCTGCCAATTCCATGTTTGCCCCTAGGCTGCATTAAAATTCACAATACGTTACCTAGGAGGGAGTTTGGTCAAGTAGTTAGGATCTATGACTCTGAATCATAAAGGAAATATTAAGTTATAGTGATTTTTCCAATTCTCCCACAAACTCGTAAAGAGTCCCAGAAAGCCAGGCTTCCTCCATGTTTCATTTTCCAGCTCTGTAAAGTGGGAATTAAAGCGCTTACCTATTTCAAAGGCCTTTTATGCAGCTTAAGCAGTACTGCAAGTTGTTTGGGAGTCTGGGCAGGACAAAAGTCCTAATTAGCCGTCAGCAGAGCCCGACTCTATAGCAAGGTAGCCGCAGTGCAGCTCATATGCAGGGGAGGCCTCTCTCTTGCCTCTTCCAAAAAGAGGTGCCCTGCGGGCTGCAAAACCTCGGAAGCATCACCCTGGCCAGGGATGGGTACGTCAGCCTAAAAGTCCCCAGGATTTGGGGGCAGACACTGGGTAAATGGGATCGTGGAGGTGAGTATAGTCCATATGCTGGGAATTCAGAAGCCAGACAGGCTCAGAAGAACGCATGAAGCGAGATGGCAATTAAAGAAGATTGTAGGTATGCAGGGAAAGAACAGGGCAGGATGAAGTTCACAGGCATGTTACAGCCCTGGAAACAGCTCGTAAGTTCAGAAATTTTGCCACTTCTATTATATAACCTACTGCATATTTTATGTGCTGCAGCTCAGGATCAGATCCCTGTTGAAGAAAGCATGTGGGCACATCCCTAAAATTCAACTTAAAGCGCTTAATTGCTTCCTGAAATAGGGATCAACATAGTGAAGTGATTTCCAGGATCAACATTACTGCTCACACATGGAAAGCAAAGCTAAAACGTTCCCTCTTATGGGGTACGTGGGCTGCATGAGCAGCACTACTGTGTATAACAGCCCAAGGGCTTTGATATCCCTGCTTTCATTTCTCCCCACTCATGCAGGGACACAGGGCTAATATTGTAAAATCCTGACCAGCCAGCGCTGGCCCTTACTTTTGTGTTCAGTTTTCTGGCACTTGATCTGGCCATCCACGCATGTGCACTGCTCCACTGCTCCTTGTTGGGCTCTCGACCAGCTCATGTTCACATCGAAGAACTCATGGAGACGGTCATCAAAACATTTATCTAAAAGACAGTTTACAAAATAACACAGGACTTCTGAGGTTTTTTCTTGCAAGGCATGGAACCACCGTTTCCAACATTTTCTCTTCTTCCCTTCATCTTGTTGAGCAGACACACTCAGCTGGTCTTTCTCAGACAAGTTAACCACCATGGTGTGGAGGCCCTTAGCCACTGTAGCAGCTTCTCCAAGTACCTCTACAGACAGAGGACTTTCTCCTAAGGTCCTATGAACATGACAATGTCACCTTACTAAACGCTGACTCAGGAAACACAAGTAACAAAGTCCCACTTGTCCCACTGCACCCCATCTTTTGGACACGCTGATTCTCACAGGTGATGGTTGTTGATGGCGCCAGTGCTTGAGAGCACCACAACTCCAAAAGGCATATTTGCACAGGAGAGCAAATATGCAAAAAGGCCCCATCTTTTGGACACGCTGATTCTCAGGTGATGGTTGTTGATGGAGCCAGTGCTTGAGAGCACCACAACTCCGAAAGGCATATTTGCACTGGGGAGCAGTCCAGAGCTACAGAACAAAAAGGCTTCACCAGGCAAAGGCAAGCACAGCTGCAAACCCTCTGTGTAAAACACCAGCCCCTCTCCCGAAGTGCAGTAAACCAGTAGTGCCATCAACTGCTGCAAAACTGGAGGAATAATCCAAGGAGAATCTTTTGGCCTGACACTTCCTTTGGAAATAAATCCACTCAAGGAAGAACCATCCAATTTTAAAGCTAGCATCACAATACACATTTTAATGGTCCTATGTGTGCATATACATAAGGGACAAGGCGTCCCTGGAATTTTGCTACTTTTTCATGTCTCCCCGCCCTACTTGCTGCATGATACTGTTAGTCACTTCCAAACATGTAAGTGATATTTAAATCTTAAAAGATGCGAAGGGAGGGGAAGACACACTTTGTGCTTCCCATGGCTTAATACCTCGCTGGCTCAGAGCACGCTTGGATTTATGACCATATAATCAAGCTATTTTCAGCTGTTCTGTCGGTAATGGGTTGTCTGTCGTAACCATTTGCAAACCCACCTACACAAACACGTGTGCTGCAGCGGTCTCTCCCATCTCATCAGCGCAACCTTAATGAGCTCTGCTAGGGCGCAGCTTTTATTTCACATTGCAGTGTCTCAGGGGAGACGATACTCACTCATCTCGCAGTTCCTCCCCGTGAACTCCTCGGGACAGGCACAGTGGTACCGCCGGTGGCCGCGGGCGAAGAAACAGGTCCCGCCGTTCTGACAAGGGCTGTTTGCACAGTGATCTAGAGACGCCCCGTGAGAGGTCGGTTAACGAGAGCCCAATAAGCGACGCTTCGTCGTGCCAGGCGTCAGCCTGGTCACATTAACCATTCTGGGTCAATACACGGTCATTTGGATGCCACCTATTCATCTAGCTAGAACAATGTTTATCCAACCAATTTCACTTGTTTTTGTTTTAAGCTGCATGGCAACTGTATTTACCCAGCCTTATTTACTCAGCGTTCTATAACCACCACGTAGTGAATCTCCAAGCTGAACCTTCTTCCCCTACGCAACCTGCCCAGCGTTGGTGGCCCTGGGGCTGCCAGTGCCATGAGGCTGGAGAGGGGCCGATGCCCACGAGATGGAGCTGTGCCCACGCACTGGGGAGGGGAGGCTGCAGCGCTGCCCTCCCGGGATTTCACATTTCAGCTCGAGCAAGAGGGATTGGGCATCTCCCTTTCAAACAACACAAAGAGCTATTCCCAGCAGAAAAAAAAATATATATATATTGTTGTGGACTTTTGTTTCTAAAAGGAAGGGACAGTTGAACAAAGCCACAAGTTTTGAAGAAAAACGGCATTGCTAAGTAAGTCAGACCAAACATGACTAAACCGGACTAGTCCAGTATATCTCTACTTTTTAAAAGGAATTTTCTAAATCATGGGGAAACTGAGTGGGGGAGGAAGGGACTATTCTCTCCTCCTTGTGCTGGACGCTTAGTAACACGCAGCACAAAAGTTGTAGGAGTCCTAGCACTCGGCAGGGTCATAGGACACATCTCCCCAACGCCACATTTACACCTGCTGAAGAGCTGGCCCAACAGCTTGTCCACATTCAAATCCTAGTCAAACTAGTCAAACTCTGTGAGGGGAAATACGGAGCTACTGCAATCAGGTGCTCCTTCGACTAGACAGCATATGGCAAAACAGAGCATGCACGTATGAAAACACGGACACTCACGTGCAAAGCTGAGCACTTAAGGCTCATCCTTGAATTTGCTACAGCAAATGTGAAGGTCCCTCTGCAGAGATCAAATATTTGCTTCAGAGTACGGTGGCGCAACTGATATCAAATACCAGTGCTGGGTGTATTCACAGGTAGTTTCACCACAGGATAACATCAAAGGAGAGCATGTAAAGGCAGAGACTGTCCTACTGCTCCTGCCACTTGATAGTTAGAAAATTTTTAATGCCGGAATGTTTCCTCAAAGGCAAATTCTCTATTCCTTATCTCTGTCACATTCAAACCATGATCATTCTTCAGGCCTTTTTCCAGTACAGTGGCAGTCAGGTCATTTTCTGTATCCGCACCAAACCTGCAGAGAGCACTTTCAGTCCTTCCTTTCTGTTCCCTTTGGTGCATCCCAGTGCATCCATCCACTCTTTCTTGACTCACCCATGGCTGCAAATGTCTCCAAGATGTTTCCTTAAGCACCCAAGCACATGGCACCTCCCTGCAGGGACTGCTGCCACTGATCTGCAGAGTGCCATGTTTCTACCTTCAACAACATCTAAAGCCACCCTGCAATATCTCCCCACCCTGAAGGAACAACACTTAGTGCTCACTAACAGTTGCTTTGGTGCAGTTTAACCTCGCTGAGGCTCTGCTGAAGAAGCAGGGAGCTCATCTCACCTTTCTAACCATGCTTTCCCACCATAGCTTTCTACTTCTACCACACACCTTCTCCAGAACTGAGCCTGCTCTTCCTCAGTCATGCCTGGGATGATGCTATGATGCTCCTCCTTCTGCATGTGCAGCCCGCACTGTTCTAGTTCTTCTTTCCGTATCAGTCCAAGCGTCCTTTTCAGGTAGACCTCTCATATACACATGATAGTCAGGGTCTGCAGAAAGGCTCTGCTTCAGCCATTGCTCTCCAGCTCTCCTTTTCCCACCTGATGTATATGCTCCTCACCAAGCTTTCACATCCAAAGGATGTTCTCTCCCCTACCAAAGTATTGTCTTTTTTTCTTGACATTAATACAGATTTTGGCAGCGTGCAAGTGAGGCAGATAGCTCTCACTCATGTGACAACTGGGCATTAGTCCTGTGCTCTGCTGCATAGAGGAGCAGGCCGTGCTGGGAGTGTTTGCATGTCTTCCAGGCAACAGAAAACCAGCACAACAGAAACACCACCTGAAGGACTAAAGTGGGAAATGGAAAAGGCCTGGAAAATCCTTGCTTTCCTAGGAGAGGGGAAATAAAAATACTGAGGATGTAACAGAAGGGAGAGGCACAAGAGTAGGGCAGGAACCCTCCTAGTAACCAACACGTGGACAGTCTGTGTTTCACTGGGGGATCAAAGCAGTCACTAGTTACTGCAACATTTTAATCCCTGGGAAGACACTCATTAATAGGTGAAATCCTCATAACTTGATTCTTTTGAGCGCCAAGTGTCCATAAAGCCTATGTCCCTGCCTGACATGCTTGCATTACAAAGGCTCTGACATTGCTACTTGCCTTAGGGTCTAGTCATTTCCTGTGATCTCCTGTTAATCTGTTTTAAAACCAGGTTGGAAAATAGTTTGAAGTTGTTAAGTTTAAAGTGATGCTGCTGCACACCACTTAATTGTAGACTCTTGGTGTGATTCAGCTAATATTGGCTTTTCAAGAATTCTGGTAGCTTGTCACCAGTCTGGCAATAAGCCTCCAGACACAATGGAAAACCCGTGTGAGGGAATGCTAAAAACCTGATACTCCTTTGGAAATGAGAAGGGATCCAGCTCCAGCCTGCAGACTAAACTAGACAAGTCACACTTGAAAGCAGTTTAAGAGAGAAAAGAGGATTATCAGCCTTTAAACACACATCCAAAAATAGACCTAGGTGCATCAGGTTTGATCAGTGCAACAGCCAACTTTTCAGTGCTGATCTGTCACTATATAAACTAAGAATTGTTAAATTAATATAGGTTCTTACGAATAGATTAAAAGTTAGATGCCTCAGAAGTAGATCCACAAGTAGCCAGCTCATTAAATTGGAGCTGGGGAGACAGAGAGCTGGCTCTCTAGGTAATGCTGAGGACGGGGATGCAAGTTGGTCAGTGAACTGTTTGGCACTTAATGCTTTCACCTCTTGCCTCCAGGACCCTTGTTTGATACTTTCTTCAGCTTGGGGACAGTCACAAATGGCCAGTCCCTGGCAAGTGTCCTTCCCATCAGATTGGAGGCTATTTCTTCAGGATGAAGATGCTCTCTACCCTCTTCAGTCAGCCTGTTTTATTTTGCCTTAAGGCACTCTAGGTCTGTGTGGAAAAAAAAAGAATCCTGACATGACGGCCTTGTGATGTAAATTGTTTTGGAAAGGGTTTTTCCCAACGTATCTTTAGTCATGATGGGTCCTAGGAAGAGACTGTAGTGCTATCTTCTCACTTCAGACCCCTGTGCCATTTGCACTGAAAATTATGAGGAACTGAAGTTATGAGGAACTTAACAATAGGTAGTAGCCTGCACTTTTCAAGCTCAGACTCTGCAAAAATCACCAACCCACTCAATTAAAACTGACTTACAGAGAAAGCAGAGGTTGTCACGGACTTTGGCTTCCTGTTTCAAACACTATCAGAGTGAGGTGGTTGCAGCACTTGGCTATGATGACCACGTGAAGCTGTGTCATTGCTCAGCTGAGTAATCCTTACACTGTTCCTCAGTTCTCCTAACATAGATGCACATATAGCCTCAAAAGTCATCTAAAAACCCAAGGAAGGCTATTTTTGAGGGCCTGCACTTTTCTCTGAGCCCTTTTTCTGTTCTTGAGAATAAATATAAGTGACATATTGTAGGAAATGTTTCTGTATCTTCTAAAAATATTAATCCCTCAAAGAACCAGAAAAAGCAACTGATTAAATGAAGAGAAAACTAAAAGGCACATTTAGGCTGTGTGAAAGAGGACAGACTCCGTGCCCAGCTTCTACAGGAGTTCAGACTTCCATGTTGGCACTACCATAATTTCTTTCCATGACTTCAAATTGGTCAGTAAAGAGTATATTGAAGAGCAGTGGCTTCCCTACCTGAGTGGTCTTCGGGTAATGACGCACAGTACCCCCATTGCCCGTCACGATCATAGTTATGCGTTGTTGCACACCTAAAAAGAATTAAAAGTGCAGTTTAGTGCAGCCTAAGGCAACCTGGATATCACACCAATTGAAGCAGGAGTATCTTCAATGATCACCCAGCACGAAGGGTGAGCCCAGGAAGCTTCTTTGCTCCTGCTGCTGGTGGTGCCATCTGTAAGAATTGCCTGCCTACTTTGAGTAAAAACTCTGCAGAGAGGAAGAGGCTCATGAGGCTTTACAAGCTCAGGGCCACTACAAACCACTATGTCCCTAAAAGCACTGCTTCATTGAAGCCACGGACCTCCTTTCTATGGTCAGTCTGGAGATGCCAGATACATATTTTTGAACTAAAACTATACGGTCTTCATTCGTTTCATACATTTTTCCCCTAATTAGCATCTATTTAATTTGAGCTCTTAAAAAAAAAAAGGCAGATAAAAGGGTTTTTTTTTTCTTATTAAAGATGCTCTGTCTTGTTTCTCTCCAAAGACAGATTAGAAATGAGATGCAGAAGCAAAACATCAGATCCTGCAGAAAAACATGACTTCCTTTCTATTTCTGAGATTAAAAACTGAAATACTGAACAAAAGCCAAAAACAAAGCAAGTAAATCACATCTCCTTTCTTCATCACAAAACAAGCAAAGCAGGACCCAACCTATTTCTGATCTCTTTAGGAGGCAGAAGCTTTGTCACAGAGGGACTTTCTTCCTGGCTTTCAACGACAACATATTTTGCACCAGTTCCTTTAAATTATTTCTACTTTTTAGCTGGCCTGACAAAATGAGGAAGTGACCACCGGGGGAGTTTCCAAAGGCACAGATAAAACCTCCCCCTTTACGGAGCAGCATCCGGCACACCGCGCTGCCTGCGCAGTCCTGCCGAGGGCCCTGGGTGGACCAATTTTGACCATTCTCCATCACGTTTATTGCCCTCCCCAGGCCGCTATCTTCAGGACTCATGGCGCTTCTCAGGAGCACCAAGAGCCCATGCTCACTCTGCCATGGAGTAGATGTGGAGGCTTCACTGAGGCCACCCATGGGCACATGACTGAGCCGCGGCTGAACCCAGCAGGTCCACGTGTCACCTCAGCGCTCCCTCCACCTGAACATCCTCCCCAACCAGCTCTAGAGCAGCATAATAAACATCAGCTGCACCAGCTGTCACTGCACGGGACACGCATAGCTACGGGGTGCTACACAATATCTGACTGCGCTTTATTTAAAGTGCCAGATAATTTATTTTTCCTATGCTCGGTTTTATCGAGCATTGAACAGTTGTGTTATCAAATAACGTTTCACCCCAGGCTTCACCAGCTAGATTGAAATTTTATTGCCAAGCACAACTGCCACTTTAACTGTCCAACTTTGCTTCTTAAGCAGAGGCTTTGGGGCATTCAAAATGCCTTAATTACTACAGACTGTCTGAACAGGCCATGCATATTAAGTGTGGTGACCTCAGTTAAATAAGGGCAAAAAGAAAGGTGCTCAAAAGTCTAATACAGATTAATGCAAACCTTCTTGAAGATGCTGTTTTCTCACAGGCATCATGGCCCATGCGACTCTGCTGGGCGGTAATGGGAATCTCTCCCTGCCCTTTTGGTGGATCATGCTCTTTCAAAGGATGGTCTGTCCCACAACAGGATTAAACTGAGTCATAAGTTAAAAGCTATTTTCACCGGTGTCATTGTTGGCAAAACGGCCTCAGACTTGAACACCTCGATTGGGCCACCAATGGCAGGGAGGGAGAATCCAGGGGTTTACACAGTTACTGACTTAGCCAAGCAGCGGTACTCTGGGCAGCATGAGAGGTGGGAAGAGGACTCTGTATAGTTGCACCTAAATGCAGAACTACCTGGATATTTGTCACAAAGAGTTTATGCATATTCTGATCATTAGGGGGAAAAGAAAACAATTTATGCAAAAACAACATTCTTTGGATTCTCTCCAATATCAGCTAAATTCAAAGCAAATGGAGAACTACATCTTTTTCCACCTTCAATGTCCCTATCATTAGAAGCCCTGACATTGCTTTCCACTGGCTTCCCTCAGTCCCCTGGCCCTCACACCCAAAGCTCTTCACAACTGGCCCCCTCACTCCCTCTCATCTCACAGTGGCTACAAAGACACCAACCCTTTCCTGGGACCTCAGTTTGCCTCTCCAGTGCCTGGCATTTTGCCTGCTCATATAATCCTCCTGTATTTCCTGCCATGCTTCTTCTATTGTTTGGGAGAATTTCAGCACGTCCTCAGAGCTACTTCATTATTCTCCTTTCATTCCCTTTAAAAATCTCTTTTTTTCCTGGGAGGCCAACCAAAACTATGCAGACATTTACGCCCCTCACAGGATTTTAGTTCCAGCAGTCATTCTGACCAGTAGTAGCTTAGCATTTCTTGATGCTATTTCTTTGTGCTTTGGCCCACTCTCTAATCCATGATATTATCAATGTCTTACATGAGCTGTCACATAAAAATTTTGATAAAAGAGTAAAACCCTGAACAAGATTTTATTCCTCTTTCAGATGAAGAGATACTCACTTAATTACACCAGAAAAGCCTATTCATCGGGACTGATTTAAACAACATTTTAAACTCAAATGGTAAATAACAGGGAAATGGAATCAGGAGCAGGATGGACCAAAATGGTGCATCACAAATTAGGCCTAACTCTAGTAGGCAAAGAGGGCTATGCTGCCCCTTAGCAGCCTTTGAGAAGACTTTTTTTTTTTTAATATTTTTTTGAAAGTAAACAAAGCCTCAGGCCATAGCCAGATAGTTTGCAATGAAAGAGCTCCACCATCACACCTGTCTCTATCACCATGGTCAAAGACCACAGGTTTCCTCAGACCTATTTTAGGTGTTACCCCAGTGAAGAAAGAAGGCCTGACTACCCCTAGCAACACCAGAGCAGGCACTGGTGTCATCAGCACCAGCGAGACCCCGATTCTGAGGCTTGGTTTCTGGTCACTCTGTCACTCACCCCAAAATGTTCTTTCCCCGTCCAGGACTGGCATAAACTACCTAACTTGAAAACAGTTTCCTTCTGCCTTCTGTCAGTTGGCCAAAAAAGATCTCTTTTGCAATGTTGTTTTCAGTCTGTGGCCAGGATATCAAATTTGCCTCCTTCCAGAGAGGATGATAAGATCATAGCTTTCTTGCACAGCCCTAAGCCCATCCCTGCGACCTGATGCAATGGGCACCCACACATTCAGTACTCTTTGCACAGCACAAGACTTCTCTGGGAAATGTCAGCACCTTCAAAGTCAAAGGAGTAGACCTGCCCAGAGACAAAAAATTGTCACCTCAAGGAGGCAGGGTTGAGGAAGCAAGGAGCAACTTCTCAAGAACCATCTCTGCTACCAAGCAGTGCTGCCACTGCTGGCACATCTAATGACACAAAATGGCTTGCCTTTAACTATGCTTGTGCCTCTGCTCACTAGAAAATGTGGCTGCATGAAGCAAATGTTAATATTCTGCCTGAGCTCCCAACAAGAGCGGCTCCAAAGGCTAGCGACGCAGTAGGGATATCACCATTTGCCACATAAGACCTGCGAGGTGTGCAAGAAGAGAGGCACAGCTACCGGGCCAGCCCGACACTGCGGTTAAGCCCAGCCAAGCCACTGAAAGGGGTAGTTGCCCTTCTACCTCTCACCCCAGCAGCCACACGATGCCACCACTTCCCTTGAGCTGCACCTCAGCAGAAGCCAACCGTTTGGCTGACCAGCAGAATATTATTCCTTCTTTGTACTTTTTTTCCACCAAATCTGCCAGCTCACCCTGTCTTCCTGCCCCAGAGAGCGGGCAGGGGCCCTTGCCTTGCAGCAGGATCACAGCTCAAACCAGCCCCAAGGGCTGGCCCTGCAAATGGGATCTGCTGTCACAGGCACTCAGCACCCTCCCCTTCTGTCTGTCCCTGCACTGATTTGTCTTAAAGGACATAAGAAGGAACTTTAGCAACATTTCCAACTGTTGTTGTTATTGTTTACTTGAACAGGAAAGGTAAATGACTGAGCCACCTTTAGCAGCCGGTAAGAGTCTGCTAAATAGGGATTTATTTGTGGAAACAGATCCTAATTAAAGGGAAATGCAACACAGGATAATGTTAGAGGAAGCTTTTTATTTGCAAACTGCAATTATTTTCTCTCCTCTGTTTTCAATAAAAGTTTATAAAAACATAAGGTTGTTTGCTGCTGTTGGAATAAGCAGGGCGAGGTTTCTGCAGAGAGAACTCTGACAGATACTGAATTATTATTTAATGCTTATAAATAAGCAAGGTCACGTGTATAATTATTCCTTTATATAAATAGAAAGGAATATAAATATTCCTTATAACACAGCAGCTATCCAAAATCATGTAGCCTGTTTTATATTTACACAGAGACTGCTTTTAGATTTTTTTTTTGAAGGACTGTCTTTTTAGAACTTAATATAAAGGGATGGTACACTATACCTGTGTTATAGGCCATACTAGAATACAGAGAAAAAAATCAAAGACATTGGGAGCAGGCTTTGGCCCATAGTATAAGGTACTGCCTTTAATAATACCCTTTGGTTTAGATCAGTCACAGAAAGCCACTTATTGCACAGGAAACCTTTGGATGAAGCCAAGTGTCTAGAAAGCTCTCAATGAACAGAACAACCCACCATTATCCCCTGGTTTGGTTTCATTGCCATCCTCTCCAAAGAACCAGGTTGTATCCCACTTATGCAGCTCACAGGTGGGAAGAAGCCAGGCCTGGCCCTCACCTGCCACCCAGCAGGGACCTCTCTAAGAAGTTGTTCAGCATCAGTGACAGCCTCGTGCCAGTCACAGAATCACAGGATGGTTGAGGTTGTAAGGGACCTCTACAGATCATCGAGTCTTTCATTGCCATCCTCTCCAAAGAACCAGGTTGTATCCCACTTATGCAGCTCACAGGTGGGAAGAAGCCAGGCCTGGCCCTCACCTGCCACCCAGCAGGGACCTCTCTAAGAAGTTGTTCAGCATCAGTGACAGCCTCGTGCCAGTCACAGAATCACAGGATGGTTGAGGTTTGAAGGGACCTCTACAGATCATCGAGTGCAGCCCTCCTGCTCAAGTCAGATAAAAATGCCCCGAGGACGTCTCCCAACTGCTACTCAGACAAAAAATAGGAAACACAACTCTGAGCTATCCAAGGTCAGCTCTAAAGTGTGCGTTAACCTCGGATCCCGTACGTTCACTGCTTTTCCATTTCTGTGCTCTACCTGGCTAAAAGTAAATACGCAGAATGTTGTGTCTTAGTAAGAACCATCCTAGGGATTACCTGAAACTCACAGGGTCCAAAGGTCAAGTGCTTTGTGGCCACACTTCAGCCAAGCCAGCGTTCCAACTAGAAAATTGTTCCAGCTCCTTTCCTTTTGTTAAGATACTCTTGTTTCCTGGAAGCTCTTCTTATTTGCCTGCTGTCAATGGATGTTCAGAAAATCTGAAGTGGTCTCCTAGGCCAAAGCTCTATGTCTATTTGCATAAGAAAATATGTGCTGTGTTGTTTATATTACACCAGCACTTTACACTTAAAAGAGAAGTGCCATCACCGAAAGATGATACACATCATGGAAAAAAATTGACAAACCAGTATTAAAAAAAAAAAAGGACTCTCTCCTGCATGTGCCAGTAAAGTCTATTCCATAAAATGATCTAATTTGTCCCTAGCAATGCATATATGTGCTCTCCTGTATCTTATCTGTGCATTATTTCCACATTTCCGGTACCCACACATTACTGGTACTGGTACCCTGCTTTATTGCCTTTGATTTCTGTTAATACACTCATTAGATATGTTTGCATAGGTGTGTCTGCATAGATATGCTTGCATTAGGCATGTCTGCAAAGTCTCGTTGGTTTGGTGCTTACTGCAATAGGGTTCCCAACTGACTGCCTCTAACCCAGGCTGTCTCTAACCCTAAATGCAAATGAGTGAATAATGAATACTGGTAACTGCTTCCATATATATGAAATAACTTTTGCCCAAAGTAAAAAGACCAGGCTTTAAGCATCTTAGTATAATAGACGGTTATCTAAAGAACAGTAGCAATGCTTCACCTCTTTGGATTGCACTGTCCAAAAGGGACCTGGTGCAAATCTGCAGAGAAACCAGAGAGAAGAAAAAACAAAAACAATTTCCCTCCAAAAATATGCTGCACTGCAATACAAAGTGTACATCTCATGCAAGTCAAGCAATTCCTTAAAAGAGCATCATTTATTACCGGTGTTTCTACCTCCTCTTTTCTTGAGCTGAGGGGGATCTATCAAATGGCTCCAGCATTTCTGCTTATTCTGTAAAATAATGTTCTGCAAAATAGCTGCCAGTGGAACTGAAGTTCCTGAATGAAAGCCAGGGCAAAGACTTTTCTACAGTTCTTGAGCTGCTGCTGGCCCTGCAGCCCCTGCTCTTGTGCTGCATCCTTCCATGCAGGAGTCTTGATCTGAGGGCCATGGACAAGGCCAGGAGGGCCTCTCCTGAGGGCAGGAGAACGTCATTGCTCCCATTGGCCATGGGAACAAGGCTGCATTGACTGTTATGAAAAAAACGGTTTAAGCCCTAAAACCAAAAATACATTTTTCTTTAAGCATTACCTTCGTGAGCAGTGCCAACTTACCATTCCCTTGGGGAAAAGCGATCGGATACACACGAGTGGTAAAACCGTCCACCATACCGAAAAGGAAATTTGCACAAAATTCCATCCTCGGTAAACACTGAAATACAAAAAGAAAAGCCTCATAATGCAGCTGTATCTTATCATCTTTATAAAACAGCATTAAAGATATATAGCTTATGAAGTTTTTCAACAGGACTTTGGATTCTGTATCATTGCCACTGTTAGTATGTAAGAAGAGGCCTAGATTGCTGTGCATTGACCAAATCAACAGAGATTCATGGGTTCTGCAGTAAAATAAAAATCTCAGCTCATTGTTAGCTTATTGCTAACATAGCTTATTGTTATTCTTGGTGCATCAAATGTCAATTATATTCATTAATTGCAGTTATCATTTCTAATTATATTATTGTTAACGGCATATTAAATTGATTTCTGAAGTAGTATCCTTTTAGGCTTCATATCACACTATAATACCAGTTTAAAATGATTAAGACACCCAACAGTGCCAATTGTCAGAAGAAAGAGGTTTTAAAGGTTGGCAGATGACAGATAACTTTGATTGTATCATCTTTCTTTGGGGTAGGCAAAACCCCAAAGCAGAGAAAGAGATGGAATTGGGCAAGTTGTATGTCTAAAAAGGGCGAGGTCCACATTCATCATCTCAGCCATAAGAGCCTAAGGAAGAGCAATGAGAGACTACTAGGGAAAAAAAAGTCTTTAAAATAAAAGAGACCCAAGATAAGAATAAAATAATTTTTAAAAAGACCAATACAAGACTGTTGGATATTACTTAACTATTGTGCTAAAAGCAATCAGTTTTTAGAATAAAGAGCATGAATTTGAAGCCAGCCACTCCTGCTGGTGGCAGATGGGAATAATACAAGGGATCTTGCAGTGCCCCCTATTTCCATTTCCATGGCAAAGCTGAGCTGTGACTTGCCCTGAGTTTGCCCCTTTGGTCATGATCTGAGCTCCAGGAAGGTGAAGGTCACCTCAAAAAGCTGCTGAGGCCACTTCTTAGCACTGCAGTGTATGAAAAATTACCCAGTCCTGGGGTCCAAATCCTCCCCAGCCAGGTAGATTTGTGGTCATACTTATTTACCCTCTCTCGTTGCTCGATCTGCCCAGGAGAAACGGCTGCTGCCTCTTCCTGTGCTCTCCCTTTTCAAGCCTGGTTGTCACTGTCCGCACTAATTGGGCAAATACTCAGATATTTACCTTGGCTGCATTGCAAGAAGTGGTTAAAGGGGTTGGACAAATACATCAGTTTAAAAGACACAGCTCATCTTAAAGGCCTTCAAAGAGTGTTACAAGCTATAAAGGCACTACTTATGGCCCGATTCTTGCAATCCCTAACAGCAAAAGCACAGGGCAGTTAAAAGGATGGGTAAGGTCCATGCATAGCAAGGCTGGCTGCTTTTTAAGGTGTCATTGAAACAAATGCAACAAGGTGATTTACATGGAGCTCAAATCCCTCCCTCAGAAACAGCCAGGCTGCATTGACGTGGTGGAGATTCAGCCCCTACATCCAAAGAGCTTGGGTACTTTAAAGCTGCAGGGCAGACGCAGCCCTCATTAAAATAAAGGGAGTTGCCCATCTTCAGCCCCATCACAGTACAAGGCATTTTACACCTCAGCAGCTCACAAGAAGTTAAATCCCATCAGCCCCTTCCCCTTAATCCACGCCTGAAGGAAAATTAGCCTAGGTTCCTGAGCTAAACCCAAATTCCTCTCTACATAGAAAGTAATGTTGTCATAATCATTCCATAATCCTTATCCAGGAGTTCATGTTGAAACAAAGACAGGCTTACTACTTATTTGCACAGCACGGATACAGACAGGCAGCGAGTTGTTACTGTCGTGAAACCTTTTGGATTTGACTTTGTACCTTGTGGGCGAGTGAACTCATGTTTTGAGCCGCTTCGTGCCCCAGATTTGTAGTGCTACAAAGAGAGAGAGAAAAAAAAAAGAGAGAGAGAGAGACAGGAACATGGGTTGGAGACACAAATTCACCCTGGGAATCACTCTGTAGAGGCAAACGTTCCCTCCAGGAGAGCCACAAAATGTTGGCACTCTCTGCTTCTGCAAGGAGCTCATTATTTAAGTGTAACTACAGCTGGGGCACACACTGGGAAAAGAGGGTAGGTAAATCCTGGCTACGGAGAGCTCCCAGTTAAAGCAGGAAAACCCAGCACAGCACAAAATCCACTGTATCTTTCAGTTAACAGGGGCCACATCTCCTATTTCTCGCTGCAGGAAGCATGTAAGTATTCTGGAGCTAGCTCTTAGTTGCAAATAATAAGCCAGACTTTGGCCTTTCCTGCCATTTAGCTGCATCCCCCAGGGCTGAGTTAAATAAGCACTCTCTGCTTTATTTGGCTTTACTGATCAGCAGGCGAAGAGCACTAGGCTGAGCTGATTATAAGCCACAAGAAATAATAAAAAATGGTAATAAAGTGCTACTGCCACCAAAGGTGCTGACAGCTATGCTCTAGTAAAATAAAAATATCGCAAAAGCAGCCAAGGAAGCAGCAAACCACGAATGTAGAACTGGGTATGGTTTATAATAAGCAAGAAACAAGACAAAGGTGTTGCTTAGATGTGTAGGGAGGGCTGAGGAAGTCTGAGGAAGAAGCAACTTCTGTGCTCCCCAGTCTCCAGAACCTCCAGCCAAGGCTGATGTTTGTCCTGGGCACCATAAACTTTCTTTTCTGCTCCGAAGTGCAGTATCTGAGGATACACTTCTGTATTTCCTGCGCCTGGCTAGGAGTTCAGCATCATTTAGGCACATCTGAGCACATGTTAATCCAGCTAGCAAACCCTAGAGCCACAGGGCTGTGCGACCGGGGCTTCCACGACGGGTGTCAGCTCGTGGCTGGGCTTAAGCAAATGAGCAGAGCTGAGCTCAGTAATTACCTGAAAATGAGACACATGCACCAAAAAAAAAAAAAGAAAAAAAAAAACCCACAAGTTGAAAATACTGAAGTACATGGCATGGAAATGGTAGTAGGGGCAAGTGGTTACCTAAGCTAGTATGTTTGGCTCCCACACACGGGCAGAGTCTGGCGGGTCATGCTGTTGCAGGTACCTGCTTGTATTTCTCGGAGGCTTTCTCCAAAGTGTTTCAGCTGTGCTAGTCCCTGTCCCCTTCCTCCCCCCAGCTCTTCCTCTCTGACAGGGCAGCCATGTGAGTAATGCCTTTAAGAGCACAGTATACCCTATGGGGCCTGCGCTTAGTCAGTGCTGCTGCGAGCCCTGACCTGAGACCGGGCTCCAGTGTCTCCCTGGAATTCACTCTTCCCTTGGGGCTGCTCGGTGGCTTCGCTCACTCAACCCCGAGGCAATAGCGCCCTGCCAACCGGCACGTAGGTGCGCTCCAAAACATAAAAATCCCACTTACCATCCTCAAACAGTCACCGCTCAGAGTCAAGGCCAAGCCAAGAGTGAGGACGGCACCAGCTCCCATCTCTGCTTCCCTCTCGCGCGGTTTTTGCCTGGCACAGGTAACTTTGCCAGGCTGTGCTGAAGCAGGAGGGTGAATCAGCACCGAGCTTTCACAAGGGACTGCGATTTACCTGACTTTAGGGTATTTTAGTTTTCTAAGTAAGCACAGCTCTTATCGCTGTTAATCATTAATGTCTTTGTGGATAGATGGGAATGCCATTTAGCGAGATAATCTACCGAAACCACCGGGAGTGAAGAGTTTACAAAGTGCCTGACCCTCTGTGATGATCCCCAGGGAACACCCGTCCCCTCCTTGAGCTGGGCAAGGCTCTCAGAGCACCCCCTGAAGACCCCTCCAGCATTGCAGCCACAAAGCTTTTAGCATCCAACACTCCCCATCGCTCGGCCTTCACTAGCTGATTAAAAGCCTGGTAAGTAATAACGAGGAGCGCCAAACAAGCCCACTCAGGAAATGCATTATATTAATGAATTATATTGCAAAATATGGAACAGATCGATGCAAATATCAGGCACAAGAATTACTCATTGACAGACGGTTACCTGCCCAGGAATTACTTAAAAAACAACAGACTAGGAAAAACAGCAAGGAAGAAAACACATATTAGTCTGCCAAAACACACGGTGTGCTAAAACGCTGCCTTCTGCAGCCGTGCCTGGCTGGGCTGAGACAGCCAGGCCGGAGGAGCACCGGCCGCGGGGATGACGCCGAGCGCCCTGCGACGTTTCTCCAGCCCAACCGGCCTGGGCCCCATCTCGCCCCGCAGCCAAACCCACCGGTCTGGCCGGGGCAGCTCTGTGGATGCTGGAGGCCTTGCCCCGTCGGGGGGCCCACACCTCTTCCCAGCCCGGATCCGCAGGGCCGCAGCAGCACACGGAGCATCCACCGAGCCCGTGCTCGGGTCCCGCGCTACCCTGTGAAGTTCCAGCGTGCAGATGGGAAGCGGGCGACTTTGTGCTCTAACCCAGCAGGGCTCTGCAATGAGGCCCTGGGCCTCAGGGCAGCCATGCTGGCACGATTTACATTATAGACTTATATATAACATATTTCTATTATAATGGTTTCTAATGTTAGGGGGATGTCTGCTGGATGTGCTGTCACACTCCTCTGGCTGTCACCACGGTAATAGACCTTGATAGCCTAGCCGTGCAGGTATAATTTCACCTGCAAAGCTTTCCTATCGCCAGGCTTGGGAACCCAAGCAAGCTTGGGACTGTCTTCCCAAAATACAGCGGAAAACAAACAGAAAAAAAGCTTTGCTCTTATGCATCATTCGTTGGCCGAAGATTTGAATAAATAAAATTTCACAGCAGACTTGAGGAATCAACTGCGAGCAAAAATTGCAGTGTTCTTCTAGGCACCAACAACTCCAAACTTCCAGCTGAAGCTGATACTTAAATATATGAAAAAGAAGCAACAGCCCCAGGAGCTGCCTCAATGCAGCCCCATCACAAAGCAAAGGGGGAAAGAGCAACCGTCACAGCTGCTTCCAGGAGCTGCTGGAGAAGCACCACCACATGGAGGAAATACCCACACGAGGAGCAGCTGAGCAGCGGTTTGAGGCTTCACAAAGATATGAATCATTAGAAATCCCTAACTGCTCTACGCTGTCTGCACTATGTCAGCAAAGAGGGGCTCAAAGAGGTCTTACTGCCATAGGCAGAATTTTTAGGCAGAAAATTACATATTTTCTGTAAATTATGTTGAGTGATCAGTGACCCTGTGAACCCTCTTTAACCAGAACAAAGTCTGCCTTTTTCCTAAAATCAATAAAAATTAAGTAAAGCACATTAAAGGTTTCGTCAAAAGAAAAGAAAAGAAAAGAAAAGAAAAGAAAAGAAAAGAAAAGAAAAGAAAAGAAAAGAAAAGAAAAGAAAAGAAAAGAAAAGAAAAGAAAAGAAAAGAAAAGAAAAGAAAAGAAAAGAAAAGAACTGCTTGGTGACCAGCTCCTCGAAAATGTGGATTTTTAGCTTTGATCCGGAATTGGACAGCCTAGAGAGCAGTGGGAGCTGGGAAGCCCATGAGGATGAGGTGCAGAGGTCAGTGGCATCAGTGTGACACCGTGAAGGTGGCAGCACGGGGGCACATACAGGGACATGAGCGAGCAAACTCGGGAAGGAGAGCTGACCTGCTCAGACAAACATCCGCAGTCCCTGAAGCTGCTCTCATTTAATCTTTCTTCCCTCCTCTTGCTTTCCAGGGAGAGCAATGCACACACTGACTGCACGGAATGGGAATAGAGCGAGCAGCGCAGCCCGGAGCCTCTGCCAGTAAGTGGAGCCCCTTTTATTTACCCATGCAGAGCAGTGCTGCAATCAGCGGCGCTCACGTAGGTTACAGGAACCTCAGCCCACGTTGACTAATCCCAGGCCAAGGCACAAGCGGCACAAACAGTGGCTTCCCCTTTATGTGGGGCAGCGAATAAGCCCGGAGCAGCAGTAGTCCCATGTGCCGTCCAAAGATGCTGAGCTGCGCTCACTGTAACATCCTGCGAGACTGGCTGTCACAGAGCTCCCCGAGGGGACCGGCAGGAGAGAAATCCCCTTTGCCCTCTTAAAGCTGGCTCTTGTTTTCTAAGAAACCGCCATTATCCTTTTAGAGATAGGCAAGTTCCAACTTTCAAATTTGTTACACATAATATTGAACCCTTTCTGGGGAGCGCGTAATCCAAATGCTTTTAGAGGCAGATCTTGCTACTGCTGAAGTCAACAAATAGTTTCAAAGTAAGGCTAGAAAATCTTTATCATGTTTGCAGGCTGTAATCCTTTTGTAGCAAAGGCTGAAATCCCTTAACTTCAGCAGTCGCTTTCACTTTGTATTGACATCAGCACAGGAAAATGAAAAGGCAAAAAAAAATCCCCAGACAATAAAGCAGCAGAAAGCGACAGAGATCCTTGTTGCAGGGGGCACAGCACATCCTGATCATGCTGCCTTTTGTATGCCCGCCTTTCTGTCATTTCCCACATGACAATGATTTTTATTTCCTTAAACTTAACATTAATTAATAAAAGCTGAAGCTGAAACTCCGAGCCCCTTGGTAATAATGGAACGATAGTAGCAAGCTCCTAAATTATTAAATGCTAATGAAAAGCAAATTGAGTCAGCCATCAATATTAAATAATAACATTTAATCTTTCTCATCAGTTAGTGCACCAGGCACAAATGGAAAAGAAAAGCCTAAACACACACTCACATCCATCCATTTGCATTGGTACCTGTGTAGAAACAGTCAGAGAGACGGAGCAGAGGTTGCCACATGACTGGAAGTTCATGGGTCTTCTCAATTTTTACATTATTTCCTAACCTATCCTCATCTTTCTGAGAAATCATCCTATTACTGCAAAGCTGAAGACAAATCATAATCTTTTCTAAAGAGTAACAGCATGTATTTTTGTAAACTTCTGTGTTTAAGTAATGGGCTTCTTTCAAAGCCAACTTCTTGCCTTTTGAAGCTGCCATATGGCAGTCAACTAGCAGTGTTGCCTCCCGAGATGATCTTATTACCAGCCCTTAGTTGATGTTATTGTTATAAAGTCTGATCCCAGCTTCCTGGGCAAGAAGGCAATTTCAGGCCATGGGATGGTCAGCGTGAGGAACTGGTGTCGCATCCAGAGCCTCTGCCAGAACCAGCAGCACGCTGTGCTGCAGACACCTTTACAAAACCTGTTGCATATGCAACTTGGAGGCAATTAAAAATATAGTTTGAAAAATAACAAATTTTTTCTTCATCTTTTGGGGAGGGAGAGGATGCAGGAGCTCTCATGTGGCTATGCTCCTTCCCACCCAGCAGCATGGCCCTCAGGTGAAGATCAGGGCCATGTGGGCAAACCTCCCCCCTCTCCTGTTCCCTCTGGGGGATCCAGACAGGCAGCTGCCCCATTGCAAACCTTCCCAGAGCTGTGAGGCCCTCAAGGATCCCCTTTGTATCTGCTGCTGAGATCACTACTGTCATCTGCTCTTGGGAGCTGCTACCAAAACTCGCTGGGAATAATACTGGATAATAACACACAGGTGCTGTAAGGCCTGTGAATTTTTTTTAAAGTTTCCTTTTAAAGGGAAGTAGCTGCACCTGGAGCCCTGAGAGGAGCTTCCCCATCCCCATTCCAGCTCGGTGTGCCTGGCTGCAAGGCTCTGGACTGGATCTGCTTCAGGCAAGAGCCACTTCACCCCACCAGGATGTGGGTCCCCACGACCAGGCCATGCATGGGCCAGTGCCTCCTCTTTCCTGTTTTGGGGACTCTGCTGGCACTCCCAAGGAACACACAGCAGTTTCTGTGACTCTGGGGTGAAAAATTCACATCTTTTTAGCATCACAAGAGAGCTGGAGTCCTGTTTTAGCCTCTCTCGGCCCAGACTTTCCTGTTGCCATTCACAGGCCCGGAGCTGCGCGTCTCCTCTGCCGCGCTGTAGCAGAGCACAGTAAATCCCTGGTAAATCGTCCTCTTCTCCCTCAGCGGCAAAAGCCCCGCATCGAGAGCCGGGTTTCTGGGCAGCTGGGATCCAGCAAGAACAGACCTGGAGCAGCCGCATTTTGGCAGATAACCCACAGACTGAAGGAAGTGCCTTTGTGCCAGTGTTTGCACCTCACTTCTCTCGCATCCCCCGTGTCTCCGTCATCGCTCGCATCTCTCCTGGCTTCCCTCAGCCTCCAGCTTTTGTTTCTGGGGGTTTCTGCACCATTCTCCTTTCTCTTGCCTCCAGGGACCAAAGCTGCTCTACTAATAGTCTTGCTCATGTCACTCCATGTCACTCTACCCATCGCTTTCACCCCCCCACCCCATGTCACTTCTACTCCTCGGAGGTGGCCTCTTTGGTCTTGCTTTCCCCCAGGAGCTTCCCATCCCACACCACTCATTCCGCCCTCTCAGCAACCTCTACCTCCAGCTAAAAATATCAGATTGTGACTCATGGAAGACTTCCGAGTTTGCTCCTCTCCCTAGCCCCGTGCTCACAGGCAACTTTACACAGTGAGCGTGGCCGCATTGCACCTCAGGGCAGAGCCC